CTCAGCATGTGCTGGTTTTTATATTCATTATAAAAGGTGTGATGGTACAGTAACCAGAGTCTGCACTGAATGATGGAAGGGGTCTCCTCTTTGCTCCATGGCTGTCACAGCCCTGTCGATGGTGATATCTCCTCCCCAGTTTTTAGAGTAGAAGCCCTGAGGGTCAGGTTCACTAAGGATCCATTACCTTCGTGTGCTCTGTCCCCAGGGAGGTGAGCACTGAAGCAAGTGGGGCCCATGTGGTCAAAGTGAACTAAAGTCCATAGGGACTGCATTTGTGGTTCTGTCCAGAGGCAACCAAAGGTTGTGTCCCTTTCTCCATTGTGTTTGTCCCAGACTACTGCTCAGCATTGTAGCTCCAGGAATGAAGATGGTTTTGCTTCTTCTTGGGACCTGGAATGCCTTTGTTTAGAGCTCCCCCAGGATCTGTTCACCCTAGATCTGGCTCCAAAGTGTGGTATTAGTTGGGTGGAACTTGAGTGTTCCTGCCTGGAAAGGAAGCTCTGAGTACTCCTTCCCAGGTGCCGGACACGGGGACCCACCCCTGATGTACACATACATGATGTTGATTTGCCCCATCACTAACAATGCTAACTTTAATCACTTGAGTCAGCTGGTAATAACTTCTAGGTTATCCACTTTTAAGTTACTCTTTTTACTTTAAAAATCAATAGATATTTTGTAATGATATTCCTTGAGATTATGCACATATCATTTTTATTGCAGTTTTGCTCATGCTATTGTGTTAAGTAAGGCCGTGTTCAAATGGGGCAAACTATATAAGTAAATGTGTGTAATCTTACATGTTTAAACTACACATTCTCCTTTTCACTTCCTAGTATCAATTTCTAATGAACAGAAATGTTGCCATTTTTCAAACCAAGAAAAATACATGAGCATTTACTGGTCATGAGTATTTAACATGCCAAGCATATTCCAAAAAAATGTGGTATATATTTTTATGCTTTTGTAAGTGATGGAGAAGAATGGGGATGCACGTTATAATCATCCCTTTTCATTTCTATAAGACTTTATAATTTACGAAACATGTTCACATGCATATCTCATCTGACTCTCACAATATACATGTTAAACAGTAAAGGAAAAGATACTGCACAACTGGAGTACCTACCCACCTGGTAAAAGTTCACGTTGGGGTAAACACAGTCTTCTGTTTAAAGTTTCCTTGTGTTCTCCTGAGTTGCTTGGTGGAGTTTTCTAATGAAGACAGTGATGATAAGGATGATAAAGACCTCAGTGATGCAAATGTTGATGAGTACAGAGAAGCAAGTAAAACTAAATAAAATCATGTCTTTGCCAAGGCCTAAACTTGCAAATTTAAAATTTTTTAAATAAATTTAAAATAGGAAAAGGAGTACATCAAGGCTGTGTATTGTCACCCTGCTTACTCAACTTATATGCAGAGTACATCATGAGAAATTCTGAGCTGGAGGAAGCACAAGCTGGAATCAAGATTGCCAGGAGAAATATCAATAACCTCAGATATGCAGATGACACCACCCTTATGGCAGAAAGTGAAGAAGAACTAAAGAGCCTCATGATGAAAGTGGAAGAGGAGAGTGAAAAAGTTGGCTTAAAGCTCAACATTCAGAAAACTAAGATTGTGGCATTCAATCCCATCACTTCATGGCAAATAGATGGGGAAACAGTGGAAACAGTGGGTGTTTTATTTTGGGGGGCTCCAAAATCACTGCAGATAATGACTGCAGCCATGAAATTAAAAGACGCTTACTCCTTAGAAGGAAAGTTATGACCAACCTAGACAGCATATTAAAAAGCAGAGACATTACTTTGTCCACAAATGTCCATCTAGTCCAGGCTATGGTTTTTCCAGTAGTCATGTATGGATGTGAGAGTTGGACTATAAAGAAAACTGGTCACCGAAGAATTGATGGTTTTGAACTGTGGTGTTGGAGAAGACTCTTGAGAGTTTCTTGGACTGCAAGGAGATCCAGCCAGTCCATCCTAAAGGAGATCAGTCCTGGGTGTTCATTGGAAGGACTGATGTTGAAACTGAAACTCCCAATATTTTGGCCACCTGATGTGAAGAGCTGACTCATTTGAAAAGACCCTGATGCTGGGAAAGATTGAGGGCAGGAGGAGAAGGGGACGACAGAGGATGAGATGGTTGGATGGCATCACCGACTTAATGGATATGGGTTTGGGTAGACTCTGGCAGTTGGTGATGGACAGGGAGGCCTGGCTGACTGCAGTCCACGGGGTTGCAAAGAGTTGGACATGACTGAGTGAGTGAACTGAACTGATTTGACATTTACATTTATGATTGGATGTCTTGCTTTCCTGAACCAGACATAATCCAGAGGCCCAAGTATGGGGGCAAGACTGATCCATTCTTCCGCAAAGTTTCCAAAGAACACAGAGGTCCAGGTCATTGGCTTTAGGAAGTCAAGTGCATCGTGTCTTCACTGGTATGGGCAGAATGACTGTGAAACATGAAGAATCCATTCACTTGCCCCACCTCTCAGGCTACTCTGTGAGATTGCTTGTAGACATGGTAGGAAACGAATAAGATTGTTAGAAAAGACACTTCCTGTCAGCTTTATAGCCACAAACTGATAACCAGAAGGAGACCCAGACTGAGACACGCATGAGTTAGGCAAACTCAATTAAGCCTCGATAGAAGCAGCTTGTCAGAGAGGCACAGAACTGGTTTGAAATCATTTAACTCAAAGCAACTGGATCAAAACGACAGTTCAGGTTGAAAAATTATTTTGTTATAAATGTTATGAATTCCTTAGCCATGTTTTATTTTTTCTGTTATTTTGTGTTTTAACTTTTTACTTTAATTCAGTTTCAGCCTTTCATTACTTGGGGAAACCAACAACAGGAACTAATTTGTCACAGTGTAAATAGTCAACAATAAGATACTAAATGAAACAATCTACATGTTTATTAACTGAAAATGAGTTAACTCACTATATTTGTGTACATATTGACTTTTAAACACAGTTATTAATGTCAGGTTACTGGCACCACCAGTCATGACCTTGTCATCTATAAAGAGAGTCACATGTGAACATACACCTACGTAGTTACTAGCATACAAAGTGAGATTCTAGCTTCCCGTGACATAATCACACATAAGCAGAGTACAACGTGCATATAAACATAGGCATTTCAATTCAATCGATGAATAGAAATAAGACCCAGAGATAGCAAAACATTAGGATTACAGTTTTTAAAGTTTAGGACTGAGTTCTGTGTTGGTTCTCAGATTCATTTATATGAAATGAATTGCATGTAGATTAATGTTAAAGATTTGTTTTGAATTTTGATTTAAAAGATAGAATAAAGAGTTGGCCTTTGAAGGGAGTGGTTAAGCCTTATGCTATAGAGCAGTTGTGAAAGGTAAAAATTGGGATTTAGATATAAGGTGAATTTTGGGTTTATATGAAATCAGAATTTATTTTTAAATGTCAAGGTGTATCAATTAGGCTATAAGCCTAGGTAAGACTTATATGTAGACTTACTTATATGTAGACTTATATACTTACTTATATGTAGACTTACATGGTAGACATTTTGGAGGTGAGGCTCCAGCTGTCTTCATTTTGAGACAAATGTCTAATAACTTAAAATTTCCCCAAGTGTGTATATAGGCAAATGTGCTTATCTGACCATTGCTACAAAGGGATATACAGTCAGACCTTGAGATATGGAGGCTGGAAGGCTTTGAATAAATAAAAGATGCTTATAGAGACTATAGAAAGTGAGGAAAAAGTAAGGAATTTAAGGAAAAGTTAGGAAAAGTTTGCAATAAGAAATAACAGGGAAGGAATATATAGAAAAAGAAAAAATAGTATAGAGAAAAGGAAAACTATTTGAGAAAGAGGAAAAGGGAAATGAAAGGAGAAAAGATGAGCTTTTGTTTTTATTCACTAGTCAGCATTTCTGGACCAGTGTTTCTTCTCTTTTGTGCACTTAGACACTGGTTCTTCATGTTTACAATTTGGTTGAAAAGGTGTGTCACAATGAACAAAGACTGAGAAATATTAGATTACTGAGTGTCTTACTGTGATTAACATATTGTGAGCTTTTAGTGTTAAACATAGATTTGAGTTAAACTCTATGAATTGTCTAGGATTATGGATAAATTAGGTATTTAACATTAGGATTAGGGGGTTGAGAATCTTAAAATCATGGGTCAGGATTTATTAATATGGAATAGCTGATGTTTGTGGCACAATTAGATTGATAATTAAAATTATAAAGATGGCTCAGAGCTGTATTAAATTTGAAGTAGGATTTGCAAGCGTGCCCTCCTCCCTGAGTAGAATCACACAGCATCCTTGTTAAAACAGATTGGTATGTCAGGTAAAGAAGACTCAATTAGGAATTAGACTTTCGTTAGAACAATTAGGAGATTAATTGCCCAAAAAGGGTCTCTCTTGCAAATGAAAAATTCTTGTCAATTTATTTTAAACATATACTTTTTTAAAACTTTAGAAATAAGTTAATATTTAAGCTGTCAGAGAGTTCAGTGGTTTATTTTGATAATTTTTGCTATAAAATGTGTTTATCAAATTTGTTTGTGAAGGCATGTCATTCCTAAAAATATTCATGACTGTGCTATAGGCATTACAAAGGGCTTCTCTGGTGGCTCAGTGGTAAACAATCTACCTGCCAATGCAAAAGATGTGAGGTTGACCCCTAGTTTGGGAAGATCCCCTGGAGAAGGAAATGGCAGCCCACTCCAGTATTCTTGCCTGGGGAACCTCATGGGCAGAGAAGACTGGCGGGATGTAGTCCCTGGAAACACAAAGATTCGGACTTGACTCAGTGACTGAACAGCCACAATAGGCATTACACATATTTTGCTCCTTATGTTCCATTTAAAGTGGGTTTTTATCTTTTGATCTATTGAAGTTACTAGGTAGATAGTAGTTCTGCAAAGTTTTTAATAAGTGTAATTATTTTGATGCTTGGAATGCAACAATGACCTGTTACACTTTTATTGTACTTTTTAGTTTATTTTGACATGTTTGTATTTGTCAGTCAGTGAGACAGAAGTCTGAAGGAGAGCACAACTTTCCCCACCCAACAAAGATGACTCTGAGTCTGTCTCTGCCCGCTCCCTACCAATCCCACCCTCCCGGAACCAGGGATGATGACGATGACAGTGATGATATCCTTGCTCTGTATCCATGTCTGTGCGGAAGTTAACATACTCCTTCATGAAGAAACTGAACTTTTCCATGACTCTTCCTATGGGAAGACACAGTTAAGAGGATCATTAACACAAGAGGAAAATTTACATTATATTAGAGCTGAAGGGAACTACAGAGATTACAGCCATAACCTGATCTTACACATGAGGAAAATGGGTCCCTAAAAAGGAGTATCCTTGCTACAGGCAGTTTCTGACAGAGCGAGTAGCAGAATGACCCTAGTCCAGTGATATTTTCATTCAACCTGCTCCCTGTACTGATCCTACAGTCCAGACTAATCACCCAAAGTCTTAAACCAGCAAAGAAGGAGGACCTCTGACAAGGGAAGTTGAGGCGGCCTGCCCCTCAGGCTTCCTGGTCAGCAGGACCCGTGGTGAGGCTGGACCCTGCACTAGTGAGGGGAGCTTCCACCGTGTGTCCTCTTCAGTGTACTCGGACGCAAGCCGTTTTCCAGGTTGAGGGCCCAGTGTCTGTGCACATTAGTGAGTCTTCCCTTTTGTGAAATAAAAGCTCCTGAATAGGAATCCGTGTGTAGACATATCCTTCTGGGCTCGGGCCCTAATGTGATATTTTAACTTGTTAAGATAATCACAAAGATGAAAAAAAGAAAACAAAAAAAAACAAAACACAAGAGCTAAGTGGCCAAAATTCAGTGGTCTAAAAGAGAGTTAACAGTGAGCAAAGGGAACTGGTTGTTACGACCCCCGAGTTGCCTATTTTGCACGAAAGAAGTGTCTTCTGCCTGGTTATATTGCCTTCCAAAACATTGTGTAAGCCAAACAAAATACTTAAAAACATGTCCATGAGGATTCTAGTCCAAGTCATGACAGCTTGGACTTTCTTGAATTCCTTATTTCAGGTTGAAGAAAAAAATCTTTGTGGTAGCCTTATCCTCCCTACTGCCTCAGGCTACGGATATTTACAGCCACCAGGAAATTGAGGAGGATAAAGACCTTCTGGTCACAGTTTATCTAAGAATCATCTACTGGCCATTAAGTCTCTTAGAAGTAGGATAAGAGGCCTCTATTCTACATGATAGTATAGTGGTTTTCAATTATTTTTTAGTGTGGGATTCAGAAACATTTCTTCCAATAAGAAATTATGTGGAACTCCACTACTTAAAAAGAGTCCGAAGTTGGTTAGAATTGTAGACCTCCCCAAATGATCTCTGTAACCTCTTGGGTGACTCCTAACTTCCCTCTACAGAACCTCTGGGCTCTAAAGACAGTAATTTGAAGCCTTCTGGTCTTGTTAGACTCTGAGTTGACAGATGGGAATTAGAGGCTCTGTCATGGAGGGACCAGTCCAAGCTGGCAGAGCAGGTGGCTCGTCCTTAATCCAACTGTGAGGCAGCAAGTTTACTCTCTCTCCCAGATGCTCTGGGTGGGTAAGTACAGTTTTTAGAGAGCTGAGCATGCTAGTGGAAAGAGGAGAAGATTGCAGTGAAGGATGGTGCCCTAGCTTTTTTTCCTTCCCATGAGGTACTCACAAGTTCTCAATACATAAGTGGCATTCATTCCCATAGGTGATGTAGTCAGAACCACAAACAGGCAGGTATGTGATGGGGCAGGGGATGGCCACCACTGGGTACTTCTTGTAAATGCTGCAGTTCACCTGCAACATACATAAGAGAATGTCCTGCTTTTCTCCTTGTCCTTAAGCTAGGCTACTCTGGCCTCTGTCTGACAGGAAGCACAGTACCACCCAGAAGTCCCAGCTCCTATACACTGAAACTGCTGTGGCTACTTATCTTGATAATACTATGACCACACTGACAAATGCTAGTACTACCAGTATCACTTCTATTATTACTAGTAATCACAGTTAACAGCTCCTGCATATTTCCTTGCCAGGCATTAAACTTAAATCTTACATGAATTTTTTTGTTTGTTTAATCTTCAGAAAACTGAAGTGGATAGGTTCTGCTATTACCCCTATTTACAGATGAGGGAGATATGGGCTTATAAAAAGAGAGAACTTATATAATATAAAAGCTAGTTAGTGGTAGGGCTGGGATTTGAACCCAGAATCTGTGCTGTTAACCAAGGTAACTGTCTCTTGCCTCACACATGTTACCCTTTCCATGGAGACATCACCAGCTTCTCAGCTAGAAGTACCCTCTCTCTTTTTTAAATTCTGGAACATTTTCTTTACACTTAGATTATTTGCTTATATGTATATCACATTTCTACAGCTGCCTTCTGAAAAGCAGAGGCAACTTATCTACATCTGCCTTGCCTTTCACCTGGTCACTCACTCCACCACAAGCATACTGAATTAATCTTTCATATGTATTTCTCAAGTGTTTGTTGACTAAATACAGTAAATAGGAAATCAAACTAAATAGGAAATTAAACTGCAATTAAATTGTGGTTCAATATACTCACTGTTTTTAAAGGCAGGCTAGCAGCTTCTGAAAGAGAGATTCAGTTGGAAATGTTAAAAAAAAAAGCAGAGTTGTGAGGTCTCATGAATTAATGTAAAGTCAATCTGTTGAATAACTCTGTGGTTCCTCTGGTAATTAGTTTCGGCACCTACCCTGTCCTTTCACAAAATCCAACTGTATTCTGATGAAGCCAAATGGCCACTGTGTTAGGTAATCCTTGGTTCAAGCAAGAGAATTATCCAAATTTCCTCTCTCTGTATACCATGGGATGTTTTCTGGAGCTCATTGTGTCTCTGATAATGTTTTAAATCAGATAGCAATAAAAGTATTGCACTCACTACTTCTCAGAGCCTGCAGCACCATCTTCGATACTCTCCCCCTCCTAATTGATATGAAGAAAAGTAATAGAGTATCTCTTAAGGTATTATAATCTTATTTAAGTAATTTTTCACTATATAAAAGTTTAATTGTTGACTCCTGGGATTTGGAGAATTTTTTTTTATGTTTTCCTGGATTAATTTGGAGAGAGATTCAAGTTTTTCTGCATCTTTGCGATGAGGAGTAGTATCTCATGATGCCAGCAGTTTCCAGGGTCCTAATAAAATGGGCTTCCCTTGGTGACTCACAGGGTAAAGAATCTGCCTGCAGTGCAGGAGACCCGGGTTCAATCCCTGGGTTGTGAAGATCCCCTGAAGAAGGGAATGGCAACCCACTCCAGTATTCTTGCCTGGAGAATTACATGGTCAGAGGAATGTGGTGGGCTACAGTCCATAGGGTCGCCAAGAGTCAGATATGACTAAGCGACTAACACACACAATAAGATGGTGGACTTCTGAAAAAAGTGGTGTGTGTGTGTGTGTGTTTGTTTTTGGTGCCATGAATGGAAATAAAAATCCTTGAAAGGGAATGTTCTAGATCCAAACCCTTCAACTCCGAGTGGGAGATAAGATTCTCCCTTTCTAGGCCAGGGCTGTTTCTATTACGAGAAGGTGAAGGTGAAGTCGCTCAGTCGTGTCCGACTCTTTGCAACCCCATGGACTAATGTAGCCCACCAGGCTCCTCTGTCCATGGGATTCTCCAGGCAAGAATACTGGAGTGGGTTGCTGTTTCCTTCTCTAGGGGATCTTCCCGACCCAAGGATCGAACCTGGGTCTCCTGCATTGCAGGCAGACGCTTTAACCTCTGAGCCACCAGGAAAGCCCTTCTATTACAAACTAGTATTCTTTAAATCCACATGACCAGACATTTCTCTGAGATGTTCATATCCTAGGAGGGGCTATGTCAGAGAACAAGCTTATGGCTATTAAGGGCACTATCTACCCTTAACTCACCTGAGCAGGAGCAGAGATGGGCCACTACACAGAGCAGAAGGAGACCCCCAATGATCTTCATGATGGAGACAACTGTGATGCAGAGGTTACTCAGGATGGTCACAACTGCATCAGCCATACTCTCGGAAAGGGTCATGTTTATAAAGCAGTGTTTGATTTCTCCGCCTTTCCTGTGAAGTCATCCAAAGTCAGGGTTGGCTCTGAGAGGCTCTCAAAGGACAGTGTCACACCCTGGGTGGTGTTACAGCCCTTGTCACTTAATTGCTACTTCCTGTCTGACCAACAAATTGATTATTCAAGGTGAGAAGTATTTTTCTGCCTGCTCTAGGGGTGGGGAATGTTGTTCCTTTGAATTCTAAAACTCAGAGTAGAAGATATTAAATATAGGCTACTGACATAGTTACGGAATAAATGAAAATATCAAACTTTCTGTATTTCACCAAAATAGAGACTATTACACTCAGATCAGTCAGATTACACTTCATACTTGTGCTGTGTTGCTCAGTCATGTCCAGCTCTTTGCAACCCCATAGGCTGTAGCCCGCCAGGCTCCTCTGTCCATGGGGATTCTCCAGGCAAGAACACTGGAGTGGGTTGCCATGCTCTCCTACAGGGGATCTTCCCAACCCGGGGATCAAACCCAGGTCTCCTGCATTATAGGCAGAATCTTTACCATCTGAGCCACCAAGGAAGCCCAAGAATACTGGAGTGGGTAGCCTGTCCCTTCTCCAGGGGATCTTCCTGACCCAGGAATCAACAAATTACACTTAGGTTTATATTTTGGCGCCTGGGAAAATGTTGTTTTATTTTCAAGGCAAGAAGTCCATGAAGCAGACAAGAATATAGTGAAAGGAATAGTGACGTTAGCACTTTTGAGGCTTGGAGAAAGGCATTGACATTTTCTAGCTGTGATCCTCAGGAAGTCCATTGTGCCATGAGCCTGTATTTGTTAGGAAGACCCAATTATGTTGTGGTAACATATAACCCCAAGATTTCTGTGACTTAAAGCAATACATGTTTATTTTTATTCATACATACAAGCCATACATGTATGGTGGTCAGCTGATGGTGCTCCATTGCTTCAGTGGGCTCTAGGTAGACAGGATAGTCACCATTTGGAATGTTGTTAACTGTCAAGGTGAAGTGAAGTAAAGATATATTCCTAAAGATTTCCATTTACAACAATTGAATATTCCAGCTCAGAATTGGCACCTATGTCACTTTGCCTTACCATCCTTGGCCCTTGTGCAACCATAGAGATTACTGAATACAGTGTTACCTTGTCTCTTGAAAACCAGAATGGGGAGAACTAGAAATAATTGGCAAACGATTCAGAGCCCACCGCAGAGCATTAGTTTCATGTCATGTCAAGTGGGACCTATTGCTAGCTCCAGTAGAGTTCACATAATTGAAGTCTTTTACATGAAAGTCTGTTCTAAAGGGCAGTGCATGTAATTGTTGCTATGAGTGTTATTGTTATTATTGACAGGCCAAGAGTACCTGCTGGGATTGCTGACATTAGATTGTAAACCATATTGTCCAAGTACAGTTGTCCAAATGGCCATTGTTTTTGTCTTTTGGGCCTGGGGACATAGGAACGAAAACCTGGGGGAAGGCAGTAGACTGTTCCACCAGTGCTTTGCTTTTGGGTTTATTTCAGTACATTCCAAAGCATAACACCTACAAAAGATAATAATAAATGACATTGCATGCCTCTCCAAATATTGACTCATATCTGTTTGGGAAGCAATATAATCTTAGTTAAGAATATATGCATGGGGACTTCCCTGGTGGTCTAGGGGCTAAGGCGCCGTACTCTCAATGCAGGGGACACAGGTTTGATCCCTGGTCAAGGGACTAAGATCCCACATACTGCACAATGCAGCCTAAAAAATTTTTTTTAAAATTTTAAAACAGAATGTATGCATTGAGTCCCATGGATCTTATTTGCAAACTTGTTTCTAATAAATATTGGTTGTATGACTTTGAGTGAGTAAATTAAGTTCTGGATATTTAGTTTCCTCGTCTGTAACATAGAAATAATATTTACCTCACAGAGTGGTTTTGAATGTGAAATACAATTATACATATATATATGTATACATATAGTCTGTATATATAAACATGTAAAATCTCTGGTATGTGAATGTGTATCTGTCAGATACCTGGAAAAGGAAATGGCAACCCACTCCAGTATTCTTGCTGGAGAATCCCATGGAGGGAGGAGCCCGGTGGGCTACAGGCCACAGGGTCGCAAAGAGTCAGACACGACTGAGTGACTTCACTTACTCACTTATGCATCAGATACCAGTATCATAATTAGAGCTTGATATACAGTAACTAATGATAAGGAATGTGATATTAATCACAACTCATTGAGGGAGGAATTTTTATTACCCTGATTTTATCAGTGAGTAAGTTGGGGCTCAGAGGATTTAAGTGATCTTACCAAGATCATAATACCAATTAATGTTGGAAACCATTGAGTTCAGTCATGGAAAAAAGGGGGAGTGAATGTTCTAATGTTCTAATAGGGTTAATTATAAGCTTTATTGTTTGCTATGAAAGTTTGAAGAGAATGATTACTAAGAAAAAGCCATTATATTTCAAGAAGGTGTTTTGTTGCAGTTTAAAATGAAATATTAGCTAAAAGGATTGGGAATAGAATCAAAGAGTGACTAGGATGAAGTGGAAAGATAGGGTAATTTTTTTTAGATGTTTGATTGTCAAAGGAGGAGAATGGAAGAAGCGAAGGCAGCAAGGTCTCCGATGGACTAAGCATATTTTAAAGTCAAAGGGAAGACGAAGAAATTTAAGATTACCTGATGGAAAGGGGCTAATTAGAGGAGTCTAGAAAAATAAGAAATAGACTAAGAGCACAGGTGTAACACCATTCCCTGTGACAGGAAGGCAGAGAAAAGCAGATGAGTGGAGAGACAGATAATGTGGAAAGTGAGAAAGAAAGATGAAGGGGAGCCTATTGTAAGCTTGACCCTGACTGTTACGTTCTGGGATTGCCTTTTGCAGTGGAAGAATCAAGTTTGTCTGAAAGCTGGAATACAATGAAGAAGACTTGGCATAGAACTTGAGAATTAGTACTAATTTTTAGCAGACCCAATCAGTACCATGCTTAATATTTCTCCGAAAATATGACACTGAGTCACTGGGAAAAGAGATATTATGGATAGGGAGTGTGTGCATCAGAGACTTGAGGGTAGCCATAAAGTCTGTAGTAGGTTTGCAAGGGAGTGAAGTGTTTCACAAGGTTTTGATGAGCTATGCAAGGTATGAGCAGTGTAGGTTTAGAGGTCAAGGTCAAGGTTCAGGCAAAGTTTGCACTTAGTAGGTGTGGCCAATAGGAACAATTGTTTATAGAAGCTGTGACTGATAAGCAAAAGTGTTTAATTTCTCAGGGCTGGGACTGAGATAATGATCTTCAAGCTGTATACAAAAATAAAGTAGATGAAGAATGGGTGGAGGTAAATGTCTGTAGATTCAAAAAGGTCAGGAAGAAGTTAGGTTCAGGGGATCCGTGTAGGGTTGCTTTGACTTTTGGTAAGAAATTTTCAAGCTGCACAATGAACCACAGATTATGGAGACTTCTTTGGAGGTGAAAGATGAAGGCTCTGAAGATTAAAAAAAAAAAAAAAAAAAGCAGTCAGTGCATTTTAGGCTGAAGGCTGGTTGCTTATTCATCCCCATAGTCCTGGGAGGAGTGGAAACTTGGAATCTCCTCACAGAGGATCATGATGCCCATCCTTCCATTCTAGGGAAGGCAGGATAGAATTAGTGAAGAAAAATATAAAAATGAAGTGAGAGAAAAGATTGAAAGTATGAGAGTTCCTTCCCTAGTGGATTTCAGATGTCATAGGGAGGGGAAAGGCAACTTATTAGTAATTCAGAGAAGGGTGAGAGGATTACATTGGAACTGGGCCTGAGTGAAGAGTTCCCGGGACGGTTGTTGCTCAGTGACTGGGTCATGTCTGACTCTTTGTGACGCATGGACTACAGTGTGCCAGGCTCCTAGTCCTCCACCATCTCCTGCAGTTTGTTCAAATTCATGTCAGTTGAGTCATTGATGCTACCTAACCATCTCATCCTCTGTTGCCTCCTTCTTCTTTTGCCTTCAGTCTTTCCCAGCCCCAGGGGCTTTTGCAGTGAGTTGGCTCTTCGCATCACATGGCCAAAGTACTGGAGCCTCAGCTTCAGCATCAGTCCTTCTAATAAATATTCAGAGTCGATTTCCTTTAGGATTGATTGGTTTGATCTCCTTGCAGTCCAAGGGACTCTCAAGAGTCTCTTCCAGCGCCATAGTTCAAAAACACTCAGCCTTCCTAATGGTCCAACTCTCATATCCGTACATGACTACTGGAAAAACCATAGCTTTGATTATATAGACCTTTGTCAGCACAATGATGTCTCAGCTTTTGAATATGCTGTCTAGGTTTGTCATAGCTTTTCTTCCAAGGAGCAAGCATCTCTTAATTTCATGGCTGCAGATAATTTCACTATCTGCAGTAATTTTGGAGCTCAAGAAAATAAAATCTGTCTCTGTTTCCAGTTTTTCCCCGTCTATTTGCCATGAGGTGATGGGACTGGATGTCATGGTCTTAGTTTTTTGAATGTTGAGTTTTAAGCCAGCTTTTTCACTCTCCTCTTTCACCCTCATCAAGAGGTTCTTTGGTTCCTCTTTACTTTCTGCCATTAGCATGGTATTATCTGCATATCTGAGGTTGTTGATATTTCTCCTGACAATCTTGATTCCAGCTTGTGATTCATATAGCCTGGCATTTCGCATGATGTACTCTGCCTAGAAGTTAATGAGCAGGGGGACAATATACAGCCTTGATGTACTCCTTTCCCAATTTTGAACCAGTCATTTGTTCCATGCCTGGTTCTAACTCTTGCTTGTTGTCCTGCATACAGGTTTCTCAGGTGACAGGTAAGCTGGTCTGGTACTCCCATCTCTTTAAGAATTTTCCATAGTTTGCTGTGATCCAGTCAAAGGCTTTAACATAGTCAATGAAGCAGAAGTAGATTTTTTTTATGGAATTGCTTTTCTTTCACTATGATCCAAGGGATGTTAGTA